ACTACGAAATAATCTAGGGTACTTCTGAAACTTGAAACAGAATAAAAAAAAAACTGGTTAGAGATTTAGAATTCCAAAATAAATTTACCGTGTTCAGATGGCAGTTTTGTTTGTATCCGGACAAAAAAATCGAACTATCTGTTTCTAAATCTTAGATTAATATGAGATATCCGTAAAACTATTCAGAAGTATAGTTTTCTGCACAAATACACTTACCATGGAAGCATTACTAGATGGGCAGTTACGACTTTTGACGACAAGATATAACAGAAATATCTTCTCGTGAAAATAAACGTTCTCGACAGTTTAAGTTTGAATGCAGAAACCATCACACTTGCATTGCTCAATCGTTAAATATTGAACGAATTTGAAGGCAATAACCTCCGAAAACTTATTGGTATTTGAATTTTGAATTGATTGATGTTGATATTTTTTATATTGATGTAGATAATTATATAAAATCCTTTCTTAAATGTTTATATTCTCTGTAAGCAAGAAAGGCATTTTGGTCACATGTGTTGATTTGTTGCTCTGGAACGTCAAATACGTTATGTGCTATCTAAAATTCTGTATACCAACTTCATATGTCCAACGCATACACAATATTTATTCGGTTTATCTGGTTTATTTTTCTATGAGATAAAATATGTTACCCAGTTGTGAAAGCTAAGTGAAATTGGCCTGTGATATATGACATCTTAACATATAAAGGGAGACTACTTACAGCTATGCAACGAATCAATATTTAATTCATCTTTATTCTGGTATTAATCTGTTTTAAAGTGAAGTACGGGTTGTTATAAACAATTTCTTCTCAACTTTGGACATAAATCTAAGTAATTTATATCTTACAAGGCATTGTTCATCATTTTTGGATTCCAATCGTATCTTTGTCTTAGAAACAGGAATTGTTCAGTTTGTTCAGTAATAGTGTTAACAGTATACAGTCGCAATTTTAGACTTCTTAGCCATGTTCATCCATAATTATCCCGATTAACTGCAGTCACTATGGATCATTGCAGTACAATGAAGGATATCCTTCGAAGCTGTAGCACAAGCTAATTGTAGACAGTTTACTATTATCAATATCAATAAACCAAATGAATATGGTAACCTTTGCTTGAGATTTATTTACATGTACATTAATAGGCTAATACAACAACAATTCATCAAAATCAATTGTTGGTGTATTTTAACGAAGTTTAAAAATTCTTTAAATATCCAGCCATTCCAAATGTAATTTCAATGAGCGTGACCATAATTAAGAATTTTCGGCACTATTTGGTGATTTGACCCAGTTACATACATTAAATAAAAGATGTACAACATTCGGTCGTAAAGGAATCATTATCGCACTTAGAATTTAGTGTGCTTGCACCCTTTGGGAATTTTCTGTGCTAAACAATAGCAAAACAATACCAAATCAGTGTCGTATTCAAATAACTCGAGAACAATGGTTGTTCATTCCTATCGGGTAATAATCTGCTAATCTGCTAGTTAGTTGGACATCTCTTTAAGATGGAACCAATGTATTGAGATCGATAATTGTTATGACGGTCGCAGGCTTGTTTGGAATCAAAATTAACGCAAATTGATAAACTCGGCTTCTGCCTCATTTACATTGTCTTTGTTGGCAATGTTAAGCAGTAATGTAGAAGAGAAATATAAATAAGTCGGTACATGAAACATTTTAATGCATATATAACAAATAATAAATTGTATTAGAAAAACGAGATTGATAACAA